TCTTAAAATTTTAAATTTGGTATGCAGTTTTTTTAAATTAATAAAAACTAACACAAAACTGCTTTCCGAATCGAAATTCATACATTTTTGGCTTATATTTTAATTGTTACCTGCAAGGGTATACAAACTTTGGCTGGCCAAAGTTAGCTTTCTTTCTTGTTTAAGGATAAGATTTAAGTTAGGAATTTTAGATATAGGAGAAGATTCCTTAGAGGCTCTATCAGAATATATGTTTATATGGATATGTAACATATATATTATTATTAAGATTGTAAGATCTTCCTTCTTCTTCAGCAATCTTATAAGCAGAAGGATGATAGCTAGATCGTGATGTCTGGTAATACAAAAATTTACTTAACACAGTTCTAAACAAGAAAGAAAGCTAACTTAGGGAAGTTAAAGTTTGAATACCTTCAGTTTGCAATTAAAAAGGGAATCGATTTTTAAACTATGCCAAAAAGTATTAATTTCAATTCTGAAAGCGGTTCTGAGTTCATTTTTATCAAGTTATAAATCTATATATATATTATTTTTAAAACTCCTCAAATTCGTTTTACCCATAGGTCGATACCCTCAAGTTGGCCATTAGCTACATAACCTTCCTCAGCGAAATGGTAAAGAAGGACAAGAATGGCAACGAGCCTGGTTTGAGCTTGCAGCGCAATTACCAGAAGGAGCCGCCCAAGAAAATCATCCTCAAGGATCGCAGTGAGTTGTCAATCAATCAATTTCCCAGCATAATAACCTAACAAAACGTGGGCGGTGGGTTCGATACACATTTAATAACATAATTCGACCGGGGCCACTGGCCTTATTCAAAGGTTATCTGCGGAGGGTACGATTTTGTTTCGATCAGAAACACACGGGGAATGCTCGACTGCATTTCGGCCAGACCCGATGGGTCTTCCTCTGCCTGCCTGAGTGTAACTAATTAGAATTTTCACACTTCTCGCCCGGGGTTTTTGGGTTCGCATTGCGGGCTTTGCGTGACTGCCAGTCAAGCAAATTGTTTTGCTCATTGCCATCGCATCGATCACCGAGGCTGCGGATGTGGATGCGGCATGGCAGGGTTTTCACAAGTTTCGCCCGGGATACAATGGCCGTGGATTAGGGGTTTCCGTGTGCGCCAGCCAGCTCATAAAAGTTGCTTTGGTCACGGTTTTTTGGTTAATAATTTTCCTATTCAAAATGTATGACACTGCAGCCTGCAAAGAGTTCCCTTTGGCCAAAGGATCTACGGAAAGCATCTGCATAACTAATAGCCCGGCACTTGGAACACTAAAAGGGGTGTCGGTTTGGGGATATGCAAGGGGTGTCCTTTATTATTGAGTGTTATGTATAGCTCTTAAAAAATGGCATTGCTTTTTTTTATATATATTTTTTTTTGTATTCATGTGTGTCAAAACACAAATTTGAACTGGTTAAAGTTGTGTTTGAACTGGTTTTTGGTTGTGGAGAAGTCTCATCAGTGGATAAAATTATAGGGGAATATATAGCTTTGGGAATTGTTTTTATTAAAAAAAAACTATAATTATGTTTAGAAAAAAACTTGCATTTGAAAGGGATGTCATTGGTTATTTATATAAACACAATTATTATGAGAACATTATTATTATTAATTAATCATTAACAAACAATTCTTGGGTTTTGTATGTTGAGTGAGTTATTCGATTTATTTTACTTATTTTAAATTATTATTAAATATACATATATATATATATTCTTATAAATATATATAATATATTTATTTTTGATTTATTAAAATACCTGTTCATAATTTCACTTGTTAATTTACTATTCTCCCCTAGTGTGTGTTGAGTGATTTTTTATTATATTTTCAATCTATTCATAGTTTCTATAGAATAAAAAAATATTTTGATTTGATTTATAGTTGTCCTCTTTTTAGACCTATTTATAATAGTACCTTTCGATTTGCTCCAGACAAAATGAACATGCAAGCTCTGATGTGAAATTAGTTTCTAGCTGATAAAGGTCCCACATGCATTCATTCACCTTGCCCGGGCAACCACCTACTCCTCCTCCTCTTCCACATCCACACACAGATACAGAGAGCGGGGGAGTGAACAAAATAGTAACAATAACAGGAACAACAAAGCCCAATCGACATAATCATAGCGTGGGAAATTCGTTACACTCCGGCAGATGGCTGCCGTCGTCGTTGTCGCCGCTTAAAGGCCAAATGGAAGCCGAGCGGGCCAGGGGAGAGGTGTGGGGAGCTGGCCATGTTGATGGCAAAAGCGTTTTCATGCTTAACTGGCATTAAAAATGTTGCAGCAAAAACAAAAACAACATCGAACCCATTGCATACTCGCATACAGATAAAAATCGCAAAAAGTTTCCTTCAGGGGGCGAAGAAGAGCTCCCATTTAAATGGGTGCAAAGATGGATCAGGGGCTGGGGGCTCTTGGCACGCGCCTGGCATATGTTCACACCGAACTTGCCGGGTTGCGGAGGCTGGACGAGGACGAGGACGGGAGCGGAAACGGAAACAGGGTTGGGGTCGCATATTTGAGCAACACCCGCATGAGGCACTCGAAAACTGCGAGAGCTACAAATTGCCCGACTTGGGTGCGAATGGTGGGATGTGGTTTCTGATTGGATGCGGCACACAAGGACAGCGAAGGGCGGAGGACATGGATTTCGGTCTGGGCTTTGGTTTTGGTTCTGTTTGTCCAAGGCAAATGACGAGCGCGCAGCGGGGTGGCAGCTGCAACAACAAGCCGGGACATCCGCAACCCCTCGGGTTTGGAGACGAACGAACCCTTTTCCATATTTGTTTGCCCTGCCTCGTTGATGGCCCTATAATGTGGCTGCTAATGGCATTTGCTCAGTTTTTGGCAACAATTTTAATTGTTTGGGCGGCGCTTGACTCCTGTCCGAGGAATCGTTGTCCTTTGGGAAAATCTTTTAAAAGTTATGCTAAGGTGTTTGATATTTTTCCTTATGGAGGTTTAATTTATGATTTATTTAAATTAATACTAGTAAATAATAGAAGTTCTATATAAATGGATCTAAGTTTGAGGTCACAAAATCAAACATTTAAGCAAACATTAGTTTTAGATAATTTTTTAGCATTTTATTTAAGTTTTATCTTTCCAATTTCAATTCGTTTAACATGGCTTAATGTTTTCTAATCATCATTCCCCTCTTGCTATCTCCTGCTTACAGCTGGCGGCGTGGCCCACTCGTTGTCCTGGTACCGCAAGGGCGATCGCTATCCGGGCAGCAAACTCTATGCCCGCACCTGGACTCCGGAGGATCCTCGCGGCCCCCTCTCGCAGCCCCAGCCGCTGTACAACAACAGCAACTCGAACCAGAACCAAAACAGCAACCAGAGCAGCGACGAGTTCAGCGGCAGCGCCGATATGTCCGATCACGGAGCCGCGGCCAGCATCTTTGGCGGCAGCAGCAATGGAATGTGAAAGGTGGATTCAGAGAGAGAGAAAGAGATTCAAGGGAAATCCAACTAGTCAAGCTTTGCTAGTCAACGGCATCTAACACATATTATTAACCAACCTAATAATTATATGACGAAAACATGTTCTGTGGTATTTAATTGCTCTAAGTTCGCTAATATCTAAATGTTATACTTAGTGGTTTAGTTTAAATCGAATAAACATTTCAAACAAAGCTATCCTGGCCACTAATTGCAGTTCAAGTGCCAAGGGCAAAGGAGTAATTCGAGGATAAATTATATAGTTATCAGCACGGGCCCGCTATTGAACACCTGGTCCTGGTTGTCCTCGTGGCCTCTACTCTACACCCTGCCATTGTCGATATCATTAAATAATAAAAAAAAGAGGGCGAACAGACAAATATCACAAGGGACAAGTGCAGTTCTTGTTTTTTTCCCGCTTTGGGGGTGGGTGTGCACTCGAAAAATAATAAATTAATTCTGAATACAAAAAGTTATTTAAAAATACCCTCAAAATGTATGGAAACCTTTGAATTGTTTTCTGTTATCAATCATTTTTTCAAGTGCAAGGCTTTGGGTGTTCAGTTCAAACTAGAAAATTATTTCCGGTCTTTCGCCATGCATGCCGCACACCTCTCCGGGAATATATCATTTAAAAAAATAACGAAAAATTATTATTTTTTAAGCGTTTTTATTTGGCAGAGTGAGCGTGCCATTTAAAACATCATTATGACTGTCAATCGATGGACTCAATGGACAGCTGTTGTCCTCGCGCCGCGTTTGGCTGAGCAATTCAGATGTTTATCTGCAATTAGGATTAGCCCCTCGGCAGGGGTGTTTCCCTGATGACGTGATTGAGCGCTGCGATTGTGCGGCAAGCCAGTTGATCTATCAATTCGATCGTATGTAAATTAATGCCTTCTGTTTAAGTCGCTCTGGCGGTCAAGGATTTAATTAACCGCCAGCGGCGACAGCTGCGTGAGGATGTCAAAATCGGATAAGATCAGTGGTGAGGTGGCGATTATTTGTATGAAAAATAAAGCTAAATTAAAATGTATGTTTTGTGGTGACAGCTTGCCAAATATTTGATTTATTTCGCGTTTTCTTTGTTACATAATTTTTTGGGAAAAATCAACAAGCGATTAAATTATATTTATTTTAACTAACTTAAGTCACTTGGACACTTTATTTATGTTTATTAATTTTCTTAAGTTACTTAAAAATTTGTAGAAAAAAGTTTTAGCTGTAATAATTAAGATCATGCAAATTATCACTAAAATTAAAAGACTAATCCCCAATAACAGTTTACAAAATTATTAGTATTTTAGGAATATATCTCCTTTCAAGTGATTATAATTAATAAAGTAAAAATCAAAGCATGCTGCGAATGTAATTAGTGCAAAAAGCATCTCCATATCCTTTAAATATTTAAAACCTTTAAATCTACCTTGCATCCCATAATTTCAAATGTTCAAATTCGGCGGAAAAATTTCCAATTGGCAGTTTGGGCCCTGCCAACTGACAGGAAAAAATGTCACAACTGGTCACTCTTTAAACGATAATGATAACAATCGATAACTCAATTTGTTTCTATCGGGAACAGCACGCGTTTGTTTTGTTTTTGAAATTCGCGTAATTTCATGCACCATGCGGTACGCTCAGATAATTGTGGGTCCTGCGGGCAGTGGCAAGGTATGCACAATGATGTTGGCTTCCTTGGCGACGCCTGTAATCTTATCCAAATCCCTCACAGTCCACCTACTGCAGCTACATGCAACAATACGCCATGGACAGTAAGCGAAATATCCAAGTTGTGAATCTCGATCCGGCGGCGGAACACTTCACTTACAGCCCGTTGGCGGACATACGGGAGCTGATACACCTGGACGATGCCATGGAAGATGAGGAGCTGCATTACGGCCCGAATGGAGGGCTCATCTTTTGCCTGGAGTTCCTCATTGAGAACCAGGACTGGCTAAAGGCTCAACTCTGCGGCGGCGAAGATGAGCTGATGCTCGGAGAGCCGGACGACGACTATATTCTGTTCGACATGCCCGGCCAGATCGAGCTGTTTACGCACCTGAAAATGGGCAAGCAACTGGTGCAGCTGCTCGAGGCGTGGAACTTCCGCACCTGCGTGGTCTTCTGCTTGGACTCGCAGTTCATGGTGGACGGGGCCAAGTTCATATCGGGCACAATGGCCGCCCTGAGTGTGATGGCCAACATGGAGCAGCCGCATGTGAATGTGCTGACCAAAGTGGATCTGCTGAGCGGCGAGGCGCGGAAACAGCTGGAGATGTACTTGGAGCCGGATGCCCACAATCTGATGGGCGAGCTGACCATTGGCACGGGCTTCGGGGAGAAGTACAGTAAGCTCACGGAAGCGATTGGATCACTGATCGAGGATTTCAGGTGAGCGGATGAGAGCCAAATTTAAGCTTTGGGGATTACGTTGTGGGAGATGTTTAGGGATGTTTCAACATTCGGTAGCTTTTGGATATTAAAGAAAACCCAGCAATTTACCAATTTAATTCTGGTTTACATATTTCTGTTTAATAATGGTGTAAGAATACAAGATATATGTTTTATTTGCTACGATCAAAATTTAAGCGTTAGAGTGCAAAATTTGTATTCTTTTAAAGACATAAGTCATCTCTTATTACGCGCGAGTCAATCTTATGCATTATTACAAATTTCAAATCGATGTCTCGGTTTGGCGGACTACTAAAAAATCCAAATATTTCAGCTTACAGAACAATTGAAAGTTAGTTGGATTACGTTTAGAATAGAATTGTATTAATATATATGAATATATATTCAATATTTCTCAATATTTAAAGATAAGAAAAACATATTACACTCCCTGGCCATAAAAGCCCTTAGACTAACTATGCTTGGTTCAGGCTTTAGCCTTGCGCGTCGGGTGGAATGGATGCTCCATTTCAGACAAATCTGGGGGATTCTGCTCAAAGGCACTTATCTCCTGCATGCCGCTGTTGGCAATCTCCCATAGCTGAGGGAATTCCTCCTTGAAGGTGGTGTACCAACGCGCCACCAAAGGATACTGGCTCAAATCGAAACCGATCGCCTCCAAGCACAGTGTGGCCGAGACAAGCGCAAAATCGGCGATGGTTACGTTTTCGCCAGCCGCGTATTTGGTTCCCAATCGCTGCAAATAGGTCTCAAAGACCTCAAGTGCATTCTGCACTTTCTTCAGCGACATCGGCGTGCGTTCATAGTCAAAAAAGATGGGCGCCATGCTGTGGGCCGAAATGGGGGCGTAGTAGAAGCCCATGTTGAAGCACAATCGCTGGTTAATCAATGCCCTCATGTTGACGTCCTGCGGATATAGAGACGAGTCCGGTGCATACTTATCGCACAGATATTGCATAATGGCAATGCTCTCTGACAAAAAGAAGCCATCGTCGTCCAGCACGGGAATTTCCTTTTGCGGATTCATCTGAAAAGTTTCGTTATTAGATAAGATTCATAAATTTTTGGTATTTCTGCTCTTACCTTGGCATATTCGTCAGTGCGATGCTCCAAGGCACAAAAGTCCACATTGATTAGCTGATATTGGATTTCCAGGGCCTTAAGGGTCATGCGAACGGCCAAGGAGGGCGGCCCATCGGAGACAGCGTACAGTTTCATGGTGAAAATGGGTCTGTTGTGGATAACCAAATGAGCATTAGCTTTTCAATGGACTCTTGCCCGACCGGTTTGCCGCTCGTCACTAGCTCAAAAAGTGAAAGCAATTTGTGCCTCTAGTTTTCAGTTGAATTTATCTATTTTTGGTTTCTTATTTTGTTTGTTGCTATTTTCAGTGCTTGTACGTATTTATATATGTATAGTGTCGAGGTATTTTGTGAATATGAATCTTATTAAAAACACAAAATATGTGTAGTGCGCTCGCGCAGCTCTCAAGTAATACTGACTCGAGCTTCACCAAGTTCCCAGGCCAGTTTGCAGGTGTTCATTTTAATAACAATTCAAACGAGTTTGTGAAAAAATAACTAAGCTTCAGACTAATACTTGAATAGAACTACAACTAATGAACTTTTAACTTGAATATTAGGAATAAAATTAAAATGATTCCAATTGATTAAATTTAACAGAATTTTGAAATATTCTAATGCAATTCGAGCCACTTTTGTATCAGTTTAAATGCGTACAAGATAGATATTACGGTTAAATTCTTATTGGTATACATACTCAACGGTGCCATAGCCGTCCATTTCATCGAACACCTCCTCCACGACTTCAATGATGGCATCTGTGTTGTCCACCTCCGTATATTGGTGATCTCCCTCCATGCCCAGCATCTCCTCGCCTTGCTCATGGATTGGCTCCTCTTCCTCCTCCTCGATTACAACATCCTCTTCATCGTCGTGATGCTGCTGCAGATGCTTGGCAGAGGCCAAGCTGCTGTTGTGACTGCTACCGGCTGCGTTACTACCGCCCGGCAGTCGTGGCTTCTTATGCACGACTATGTCGCTGCTGATGTTTGAGACATTGAGGCGCTCAATGGCCAAGTCGCCGTACTCCTGCTGAATCTGATCCAGGGACTTGCCGATAAAGTGGAGCGGCCTGAACTTCAACTTCTTGTTGTTCTTCTTGTTGATCTCGTTGAACAGGCGTCGCTTGATATCATCCTCGCTGAACGGATGGCTGTGACTGTTGTACACCCGCAGCACACGAATGGAGCCATCCTTCTGGGTGGCCGTTGAGATGCGACTCTTGCAGCTGATCTCCGGATCGCGGCTCTTGATGCACACCCAATAGTTGCGCGAAATGACACCTCGATTCTTGGCATGGTAGATGTAACCATCGACGCAGAGCAGTTCGTGGCCCTTGGCCGAACGCAGGGTACAGATCTTGGTGAGATCCATGTCCGGCTGTGCGCCCTTCTTGGGCTCTACGATCTCTCGCCGCCGTCGTATGTTTGTGATCTCGGGCTGGCGTACCTTGGGCGTTGACGAAAATGCCCCTCGGGATTGCGAGCCGAGCCCCTGAAGCGCATCGGGAAGTATCTCGATCTTGGCGCTAATGTTGTCGGCGCCGTCCTTAAGGTACTGCACAATCATGTTCGCCTTAGAATCTGGTTCCATTTTGATGGCTCCATCGATGCTAATTACCTTCTTCATGACAACGCTGTTGTCCGGTTCATGGAGTGGCTCGTAACTGCCATCGACGCTATGCTCCGGCTCAAAGGTCTCCCCACCCTGGCTGGCCGAACCTTCGTCGCTCTCGAAGTCAACATCATCGCTAATTTCGGCCTTGGCCAGCTTGTGCTGCTGATCGGACGAAACATCCTGATCCATCTTTGCCTGTTGCTTGAGCCGACGGGCGATCTCTTTGAGGTCTGGCCTGTGCGTGTGCTCTCCGTTAATTCGGATAACTATCGGTCCGTTTTCGACCGGATCGAGGGTGACGCGCACATGGCAAGTGTTGGTCTTGTCGCGACGATTGATGCATGTGAAGAACATGTGGCCATTCGATCTGCTCTGGGAATCAAAGTGAAACAGATGCCGATTCAGGCACAAAACCTTGCGACCCTTGGCCGACGGCAGAAATGTGAACTTGGTCAGGTCAGACTCCGTGAGGGGATTGTAGCCCGGCGGCGGCAGATAGTTGGCAATCACATCGAAGGCCACTGGCCACTTGCTGCTGACTAGATGCTTGTGATCCCCAATTGAACCCTCATCCACCTCGCCCTCATGTATCTCGCCCTCTTCATGGATCTCGCCACTGTGATCTTCCTCAGTGCTCACGTACACATCGTAGTTGTCCTCGCACTCCTCGATTATTATCGACTCACAATCATCGTTGCGTTGGGTAGAGTCCAATGTACTTTCCGGATCAAAATACTCCAAATTGGGACACTCGGCCAGCACGTCCGAGGTCTGCTCATCCTCCACCAGGACGATCTGGTGCTTGGCGAACATGTGCATCAGCTTGACGGCCGAATAGTGCGGATGTATGTGGGCATCGGACTCGATGGCGTGCAGCCGATGGGCGCCCGCCAGAGTGGCCTCCGTGCAGATCTTGGCCGTGCACTCAATGTCCCGCATGCGGACGCAAGTCCATCGATAGATGTCGCCCTTGTACGACTTCCCAGCCAGATAGTAAAGGTGCCCGTCGATGCAGACCATCACGCGACCGTCGCGTCGTCGCAGCATGTACACGCGGTCCTTGTCCTGGTAAAAGAAGTTTTTTAGCATTATATATTTTTTAAATAATTTAAATGTGGCCAAGATTTAGCTCTTAAAAATAATCTTTATCAGAGATCTGGGCTTTTATAAATAGCAGTTCCCATTAATACCCAAAAGAATAGTTTTCAGGGGCATAAAAGACAGGCATTTGAAAGACCGGGGGTCGTATGTACCTCAAAGTCCAGTTGAAAGGAGGCCTCCAAAGCGGAGGTGTCGATGCCGCCTAAGATGAACTCCGGCGGGTTCATGCCCGCGTTAGCCCGCTCATACTGGCGCGCCCGTTTAGGCTGCGTGGTGCTGTAGGCGTCGTTCTTCTTCATAACAGACAGTCGCTTGCGCTGGGACACCTTGTTCACCTCGTGGTCACTGCAGCGCGGATGGATGTGGGCCAGGGCGACATCAACGACGACGTGGCGCGTCTTATCCATCGGATTGGGCAGCAGCGTACAGATGCGCGACTTGCAGGGGGTGGACTTGTCCTTCCGCCGGTTGCACAGCCAGCGGTAGGTGTTGTTCTTGCCAATGCGATCGAAGTGGTACAGATAATCGTCCACGCAGAGCATGTCCACGCCCTTGGCGGAGCGCACCACGGAGACCTTCGTGAGGTCCATGCCGTGCTCCTCGACCGAGGTTTCCATTTTTTGAATTCCTTTGGTGTTTTTGCCAGAAAAGTGTTTTGTATCGTAAATTAGGCGATTTTTGTGTGTGTTGCCTGGGATTTGTTGGTTGGGATTTTTTGGTGCTATTTCATCAGCTCACTATTCGCGCGCTTTTGGCCAAAACCCGAATTGTTGACTATGCACTGAAAATATGCAGTTAGATGCACTTATTAGCGTTTATTTTTACTTTTTTCCTCTCGATTTAATTGCACAAGCACATTTTCTTTTTGCGACGCGTCGAGAAATGCTTTTGTGTGAGAGATGCCAGGGCTGCCGATTATGTGATGGCGTTGGGGGTTGCCACTTGTCAACCTTCAGTTGTTTGCCCTATTTTTTATTTTACAATTTTTAAAATTAAAATTAATTAGTGTAATTCTTATTTTGCAGCTTGGTGCGCTTCTTTCCGCTGGACTCCCAGGACGAGGAGAGCGTGGGCGATCTTTTGCTGCAAATCGACAATGTTCTGCAGTTTGGCGAGGATGCTGACGTGCAAGTACGTGATTTTGATGAACCAGAGGAGGGCGAACGGGATGAATAAAATAAATATTTAATAATTTTAAGGCCTGGCATGTATTGCTGTAAATGTAAATAAAAAATAAGAGTGCTAAAATGACCAAATTGCCTTCTTGCCGGTTGTGAGTCTCCAGCCCTGGTCGCAGTGTGGCCACCTGAGCGACGTTGTGCAACACTGTTTTTATTATTTTAAATTCCCATACGCGTACAGCGTCTACCAAAACATTGCTTTTAATACGCAATTAAATGTGAAATCATAATGGAGGAAGCTGACGCAAGTCCCACGGGAATGTCAGCGAGCCAGGAGACCATCTCGAAGCGTTTGGCGGCCCTTAATCTCTGGCAGGAAGAGCAGAAGCGGATGCTGGCCGAGCGTCAGAACAATCAGCGCGTCTTGCTCGGCTTGGAGCAGCGGGATATGTACAAAATGCTGGGTCTGCTGCACAAGGAGGTGGAGAGCAGGGAAACCAGCGTGCTGGAGGGCTCGTGGGACGACGATCCCTCCATTCCGATGCCACGCCTCGCAGACTACGAGCAGAAGGAGGAGGAGGAACAGGAGGATTTGCAAAAAAACATGGCCAGTCCTCAGCCTGCCAGGCCCAAGCGTCCTTTCCTGCGCCGCGGTGAGGGTCTAAAGCAGCGCTTTAAAATTAATCCCGACCAGCTACGCCTCGACAACCTGCCCCGTTACAAGTACGCCAATTCCCATCCTCAGTTTCGGGTGCCACAGGTGAAGAAGAGCATTCTCAAGAGAGGAGCGCCTTCGACTACTGCCCCTGCAGCTCCTGTCGCTGCTCCTGCTCCTCTTAAGCCACCAGCCAAAGTTGATCTCAACGAGCAGCGATTCCAGAAGGTGCTAATGAGCTCTAAGAACGCCTGCAGCTCTACGCCTGATCTAAAATCTTCCTATGCGTCCTCCACATCTGCCTCCAGCATTTCGCCAAGAGTTCGCTTTGTGGAGCAGAAGAGCAAGGCAGGACAGGCGGATGATGAGGCTTCCTCAGAGGCCAGTCCTTTGACGGGGGTGTGCTGGGCCAAGGTGCTGGAAACCCAAAATATAAAGCCCGTACCCCTCATTCAAAGGCGGTCAGCTCAAATCCGAGTAGAGGACGATAGCAACGTAAGCATCTTCGAGCTGCTGGAGCAGAAGGCCAGCGAGGGCAACATCGACATGAACTCCAGCTGCATTCGGACATTCATGGCGCGCAAGGAACACCGGCGGAACCTGGCCGATGACACAGACCAAATTGTAGTCACGCAGCAGGTGCGGCAGATGCGATTACAGCCGCAGGTGGACCAGGTGCAAATCCACGAGATAGACGACGAGGAGGAGGGGGAGGACGGGGACGAACAAACTCCCACCCATTCCATGACGCCCATTCAGGTGGGCAAGACGCAAGTGCGTGTGCGCTTTTCCGACTCCAATGACACCCATGAGTACTCCGACGCCACCAGCCTCAACGATGGCTCCAATATCCAGCTATTTGAGCAGTTCAAGTCCGCCCTCTTCCAGGCATTGGAGCAGAAAAAGAAGACGACGAGTCCCGGACAGCAGCAAGATGAACCACTCACCCAAGAGCTGCAGGAGAAGGCGAATCTGGTTCGCACTCGTCTCGAGGAACTGGAGTCTGAAATAGCTACATTTAAGGAGCAGAATGCCCAACTGCTGCGCTTGAAGCAGCAACACGAACTGGATAAGGCCAAATGCGCCCAGGATCACATGGAGGCCATGGAGCGCGTCCACGACGAGAAAATACAGGCGGAGATATACCTGCACGACGAGCGGATGAAGATCGAGGAGGAGAGGCGCAAGTTTGAGCAGCAGATGCGCCTTCAGAAGAGCAACGCCAATACCAAGGAGAAGAAGGAGATTGCCGCCTTGAAGCAGGAGGTGGAGGCACTGCAGCTGCAGCTGAAACAGAAGGATCAGAATCACGTCTCGGCGCAGGCACGACTTCGCGCTCAGCTGCGGGCCACCGAAAAGGAGCAGAACAACTACAGGGACGAGATTGAGCTGCTGCGGCGGGAGAACAAGCGGTTGGAGCAGGAGCTGGTCAGGATAGGCCGCGAGAACAACAGCAAGATGCTGCAGGAGATCAATAGAAACATTGCCAGGCTGGCACCCAAGGTGGTGAGTGCACAACATTTACCCTAACATCAGTGATCCCAAAATATAATAGAGATTCCGTTTCAGTTTCCTTCCACTTCCACCTCCCAACCCCTCGACGAGAACGGACGTCGGACGAAGTCTCTTGATGGCACTGCGGCAGGTCGCAAGCCGGCCCCCAAGCAGCGAGAGCAGCCTGCCCAACGCCGCCAGAGCAGCGGTAGTAGTTGTCAAGTCAGGAGTCGCAGTCGATCTCTGGGCAGATCCAAAAAGCAGCCGGAAGCGCTGGAAGAAGACAGTTTCGCCTCCTCCAGCAGCTCTGGGGAGGTGGAAGAAGTCAAAGAACCCCCAGCACCTGCTGCTGCAGAGGATCCCCCAGCGAATGCCAACTCCACCACCGACTTTAAGCGGGAGATTGTGAACGATGATGGCAGCAGGGACATTTGGTATCCGAATGGCAATCTCAAGAAGATCAGTGCCTGCGGCATGAATATACGCATGCTGTACTTTAACAAGGACATCAAGGAGACGGACATCAGGGAGGGCACTGTGAAGTACTACTATGCTGAGACAAACACCTGGCACACCTCCTACCTAGATGGCCTGGAAATACTCGAGTTCCCCAACGGACAGACCGAGCATCGCCGCAAGGACGGCACTATTGAAGTTCATTTCCCCAACAACAGCATCAAGATAGTGGATCCCAGCCATACCGAGAAGCTGGAGGAGTGGCGCTATGCGGATGGAACGCACCTGGTGCAGATGCGCAACGGGGACAAGATTCTAAATCTACCCAATGGCCAGAAGGAGATCCACACGAAGCTCAATAAGCGAAGAGAATATCCCGATGGCACGGTTAAATTGGTATATCCGGATGGCAGCCAGGAGACTCGCTACTCCAACGGACGTGTGCGGCTGAAGGACAAAGATGGCAAGCTCATAATGGATACAGACTATGCCAAGTATTAGAATAAGTATATAATTTTCCTTGTGAATTAAATGTAGTCTTAAGAATTATACGCAATGTTGTTTTTATTTGTACCCCATGTTTATTTATAACGAGTCCTAGTCCTTACTGCTCTTCATTTTCAGCCGCCTGGGCCATGGCCAGTTGGTGGTCAAAGTTCCGAGGATCTTGATTCAGCAGCTTGGCGGCGAACTGCACGATATGCTCATAGCTAATCTCGGCCTTGGCGCGCAGACCCCAAAGGAAGAAGATTTTGGGATCATCGTAGGCGTTCAGCTGGGATCGCTCTCGCTTCAGGTACTGCTGCTTCACGAACGTCTCCTCAATTAGCTTCCGCACATTGGCTCCGAAGTACCCATGCTCCTCGTCCACTTGGATATTCAGCAGTTCCAGCATGCCGTACAGTTTGGAGTCCTCTATGCGATTGCCTCGCAGAAAGATGTACATGAGGATGATGTACAGCAGAGTGATCTGGGGTCGCTGTACAGGTGTCAGTTCGTGAATGGAGGCCATCGGGGCCTCCGAAGTACAGATGTAAGTCTTGGTGGCTGAATCCAGTTGTTTAAAAATGATTCCGAATCGTTGGGCCAGAAGTTCGGTGACCAGTTGCAGTCGTTTTTTCAGCTCGTTCTTGTCGCCGGCCGCTGTGGCCAAGTCCTTCTCCTTGATGGGAATCTGCTCCGCGGAGTGATCGAGGATGTAGTTTAAAATGGCGCGCACTTTGCCGTCCACTTCCGTGATGTGCTGGGTTGCCTGCGTAAGGTTGGCATTCTGGCTTCTGGCGGCTCGAGATGTGCTGGCCATTTTTGGTTGAATTAATTTGAGATTTTATACCATTAAATCATGAAACTATAATATTTCTCGAACACTTGACTTGAATTATTGTTGCGATATTAATGCTAATGTGACCAGGTCCTAGTATTCCAAAAATATACACGCATACACGCTCAGATAGACTCATTAAACTGAGCTGCCAGACTTTTAGACCAGATCGATTATTCTTAATCGATAAATGTTTAGTATTTTAATACCACACTTTGGCGCCCTGTTTGAATATTGAAACCATTCAATTTGCAAGGCATTGTTCTTTTTGTCATTTTCTCATTTTCGCCATCCTGTGCCACTTGATTGGCAATTCAAGTGCAAATGGGCACTCAATGTGCTTCTTACAACGCACAAACTGGGCCAAGTGCGGCTGAAGTGGCCGTTACACTAGGTTAATATTGATTGAATTCGTTATGCTAACAGCGACCTTTTGTTATTCCCAATCAGAAATCTCAGTTTAGTGTCGGCCGTTTGACTGAATTAAATGCCTTCCAGAGCCGAAGAGTCCCGAGGTGATGTGTTTTTAATTAAAATGGCAAAAGTGCCGCGACGTGGAGCAGCAGGAAGCAAACAACTTTCAAAACTAAATGCGAATGACATGCACGGTCAACATTCCCCAGCGAGACTCAAAATAAACAGCGCCCGAGAGTCAAACAAAACGAAATGGAAATGCATTTTGTGCAGACACGCGCAGGAGTGCACTTCCAGACGCAGACACAGACGGGAGAATTGCATAGCCAAACATATTTTATTGCCTTGAAATGTGTGTTTTAGGTGGTGTGGCTGAGGTGAAAACGAGTTACCTGCGTAAGCCGGCTAAAAAAAAAGTGAAGTGCTCTATCCATAAGTGATAAATGTTCAGGCGGAAGGCAGCAGACAAAAGTTGACTGGCCAGGCGGCAGGCTTTAATTGATTTGCCATTGTTCCGGCTCTAGACAAAAGCCGGGCTCGAGCCAAATCTCAGAGGTCAGGAATTTATGAGAGCCTTTTGTTCGGCTGCGAAATGGATATCCGCCGATTTTTGCAAATTTCACGCTCGACCAATGGCTCTAAAATCACTAGAATTTACATTTAAGTTGGTACTGTTTCTGTTTTACTTAAAACTATAAATAAAAGTACTGGTACTGGTTATTAATTTTTAATTGCAGAACTAACGTGCGATGAATCTTCAGTAATTTATGGTTTTTTGAGCCTTATTTTAATATTTGCGAATTAAGGAACTAAAATGAGCCACAACTTCCTAAACCTAATTTCTGCTTAGTATCATATGAAGATTGTTTAGAGATTATCTGAATTTCAGGTTGTATTTCATTCTGAGTGCACACACAATAAAGTGAAATGTCTCAGGGATCGTAGAAACTGCGAGTGAGTGAGTCAACAAAACGCATTGTCAACTCTTTGACTTTGACTTTCTACACACAAACAAAAAGTTTTGCTTTCAAAATAAATGCTCATTGTAACGTGGAGTTTGTCAACTCCAGTGCCAGAGCCAGTGCCAGTCCCCCGTTCCATCTTTTTTTTTATGGCCGGCTAATTGTAGTCAGGCTGACTCGAAGAAAAGTCTTATATATAAATAGTAAATGTTTCGTAGTGTTTGCTGAAAAGAAAGTCAAGGTCTTTGCCGAGTGGCATGAGCAGCGAACTTGCTTTTCAGCTTTTTGGCGCTTCGTGGCAATAAAAAATTAGCAAAATGACATGAGCATGCCATTTAGAATTTTCATGATAAACAAAAACCCATGACCAGTCAATAGAGTAACGACAACGGGTTTTTTGTGCTCACCATTGGTGGCAAAAACTATTAATAAATTAATAACAGAATCTCAAGAAAAGACGGCAACAAAAAAAGAAAGCTTAAAAAGGAATGCAGAGAGACTTGATGCTCTGCGTTAGTGAGGTTTATTGGCTATTAAATGGTTTATGTAAAAAAATGTCTGGTCTTGTAGTTACAGAATCCGAAAGTATCTTGGCAAGACAAAAAATTTTAATAAATTTTAAGAAAACCCCTTTTAATTTGCTCTATTAATATAAAACCTTTGTTAAGGTTATAGTCTTATAAATTTTCCAATGTCTACCTCTGATAGCATCTTAATTTATTTCTTATATTTTAACTTAAATTATTCAACTTTAATATATTCTAAAGTTCTCCTCTGACACTTTTGATTTATTTCCGCCTAAATTTTTCTGTTACAACTTATTTTGGTGAGCTGATAACCCCGATTTCGCTTGCGCTGGAATAGAATCAAGAATCTAGCCACAATAGCCGGCTATTGTTGACTCAGTCTGGTTGCGTGCTGTTTCCCAAAAGTGGACTACCTTCAGCGGAGCGGTTTGGCATTCTTGTTCAGCGGCAGCAGCCGCAGCAGCTTGTGGCCGATCTGGCTGATCTGGCTCGGGACCGGCACTTCGATTAGATTATGATTTGCGGTTCTCTCGCTCTAAACGACCAGTTTTCTGCTAAATGTCAATGGGTTCCACAATTAAAAAGTTACGTGTGTGCGTGTTTGTGTGTAAAGTTCAGTTCTAAAACAAAAGACTTAAGCGACAAACTGGCTAAGCAGAGGTCGTCGGCTGGCTAATTAAGAGGTCAATTTATACACCCAGGCCATGGCCTAAAATTAAGAAGTGCGGTTTTTTTTTTTGGTGGCCTCTCGACCTTTTACACTTAATAAATTTCGATGTTAACTAGAAGGCAGCAGGCAGTCCGGTAGATAATCAAATTTAACGCTTATCAGTCAGTTGGCTAAAACGGCTGCAACAATCGTCGCAATTAAAGCCAGACAAATGGGCAATGACGCGACTTTACTTGGGGGCCAAGTTCACTCGTGCATGCCGAATCGCGTATACGCACCGTGTGACGACATCAATCTACAGGGGGGGGGAGACTCTCACAAATGCTCTTCATTCGTATAAAAATAATTGATGTCTAAGCGGATCTGAAGCGAATGCTTACTCGCAGTGGGAAAATACAACGTATGATTACTCAATGAGTGTGCTTTCATGCATTTTAATTCGGTAATCCAGTTGTGGTGGCTCAGAATTGGGTGTCTGTGTGGTTTTCTAAGAAAACATCAATAAAATTAATAAATAACTAGAAGCGATGTGACTTGGGGAAGCAAGATCAAGAATATGTATGTTATATTTATAGAATCGGAAATGATTTCTATATTCTGCAAGGGTATACAATATAAAACTGATTTTAAGCTTAAATTAAACGTAGATTTTCTAGTTGTTTTCTCAATTTTTTTGATCTTTAAAGCTGACATCGGTTAGGCATTCTTTTGAAAGTCATCAGATATACTTAACCAGGGAAACATTAAATTATTAGGGTACATTTTCAAGAGATTGCATTTGAAAACACTCCCAAAAAGCCTTTTTATCCTTTTGGAACAACAGGATTCCTCTCTGGCGATCACATTAATTAACATAATTTACTTACCTGACCAACATCCGTTTTTATTAATTCGCATTTGAATAATATATTCGCAGCTAAAGATTTTTGAAGGTCATTGTTTATTTATTTTCATGCATCTTTCTGGGTCTTCAACTTGATCTTCGCCTTCGTGTGTTTTTATTACTCTCGAGATCCACAATCTCTCGTTTGACTGGCTGAGCTGGCCATTCTAAATGGTTTATTAATTTTTATGGCCCGTGATTCGATGACTTTGAAGTGGGCCAGCATAGATCGCAAGCCCACATCACCTTAATGTTTGTACAAGCATTAAATGTTTATTAATTATATCATAAATAGCCCTGCCGTTTTGTAAACAATTAAGCGTAAGCCCAATGTCTGCCTCTCATGCCATAAATCCAGACAAGTTGGTCAAAACTAATGGCGTTTCGGCTGACGCTTGACTGAAATGCCCATCTAATGAGTCACTTGAGGCACTCGAAAATGTTCCATGAAATTCTCCACGCCAAGTAAATGCCAACTAGTTATACAGTATCCGGTGTGTGCCGGCTTTAGGCTAATAAAATGTCAATTAGGGATTTCTCGATTCACTCTCTTTCGGTGACGTCCGCAGGCTGCCTTGTGAAGGTCGTCGATCAACAGCTTTTTAGCAACCGTATCACACGAGGCGAAATGTGAATCACATATTCGCAAATTTCGTATGCAGCCAGCGAGGTTGTCACAACAGCCTTGAGCCACCACCGAGCCAACACTTTGCATGGGAGAGTGCCAAAAAAACAACAATAAACCATAAATTGTTGCATAAATCTCGGACGGTTTCCTGTGTGAAAAACTTTCACATGCCGCCATTTGCCAGAAGGCATCAAATTTATTATAATTATTATTGAGCCTGGTGTCATGTTATACATGCATCAATTTAATGGTTTTTGACTCGCCAAAAAGCAGAGTGTTTGTCCAAGTCGTGGGAAGATCTGCACTCTGAAGTCATGGTCAGGGTCAGGTTGGGTTTGGACTGATTGAATGTCCAGAGTGTCAACGACTCGGATTAAGAATTGAAAGTGTTTTGAATAATTTAAATGTGTTTCTTCAGGCTTAAATTTGAGGTACATTCGATTTTATAACCAATGAAAATTGAAACAATCAAAACGAAAGCTTCTTAAAGACATTGGGCACATGGAATACACATGATTTGATAGCTCATAAATAGGATAGTTAAGCTACTTACTTCGTTCCTAATTTCAATTTATGATTTGTTAAACAAAAGCTAAGAATTTCTCATGAAACTCATAAGCTTTACCGAAAGGCAACAATATGAAATCAGTGTCGCAAAGAATTCCCAGGGCCGGGCCTTGAGTCACTCTTCGGAAGCCCCTATATATATTCAAAGAAATGCTTTTAAAGCCAAGTTAAATCCCGGCAGAGAGGAGGATTATGCTTGCATATGATGTCATGTCTTCGAAATGTATTTTTTCGGTTATTTTTTGAGCTTGAGCTTGGCTTGGCTTGGCTTGGCTTGACTTGGCTTAGTGTTTTCGGCCTGTGTTTATCGGCATCTGGCTATCGGTTCAGCCGGCGCAGCGGCCTGTTTGAACGCATTTCATTATAGTGTGTATATATCTGTATATATGGTGTTTATGTGCAGGCCCCGGGAATATTATATGGTGCTGTAGTTGTCTGAGCGGTGT